TACAGGAGACTGAAGGTGTGAATTGTGTGTCTGTGGTTGTGTTACAGGAGACTGCTGGCTGCTCGCTGCCATTGGTTCTCTGACTCTGAACCAACGTCTGCTGCACCGCGTCGTTCCTCACGGTCAGAACTTCAACCAACAATACGCCGGCATCTTCCACTTCCAGGTGAGACTCCACCCACACCCCTCTGTCAGCCAATCAGAGCTTCCCCTCAGAATAAACACGATATATCTACAATTTTCCGTCACTGGGATCAACAGACCGCTCGAGTGTGTGCTTCATGTTCCGTGGACTCTCGCTCTGCATGTCAATTTATTTGGCCAATCAGATGGAGCCCTGCTGTCTTAGATAATTCACTGCAGATGCTCAGGTTCTTGTCCAGGGTTTTTCCTACATAGAGAATTGTGAGCCGCCTCCGACTCCCGACACAATTCTTGTTGAGTGGACACTGCTAGTTATCACGTCTTTCCCCGGGACAAAGTGATGTCTATATCTGGGACTATAATGGTAGTTCTCCACATCTGTCACTAGGAGGCACTAAATGCTTCACAGCTGTTTCTTGAACTCAGAACGTCATCACAGGTTTTGAGCTTCACAAAATCAAACAGTCACATTTCACTGTCGTCCACTCGTCTGTTTGTCAAGTGAATCTGTTGCTGTGGTAACAAACTTCAGCTTTGTTGCCCTACAGACAATTTCATGACTATTTCAAAATAAAAGACGGCAGAAATGTCTAATCAGATGAGCTGGATTTAACCCCTCGTTTCTCTCGGCTGTGTAGTTCTGGCAGTTCGGGGAGTGGGTGGACGTGGTGATCGACGATCGTCTGCCGGTCAAAGATGGCGAGCTGATGTTCGTACACTCGGCTGAAGGCAGCGAGTTCTGGAGCGCTCTGCTGGAGAAGGCCTACGCCAAGTGAGACATTCACAGTCACATGACGTCACTGGTTACTCAGTTTACAAATGAGACTCATCTTTCATACTCCTTTGGTTGTAGTGGAGTGTTTTCATCGTGATGCTCTGGATGTTTCTTGTGTGTGTAGGCTGAGCGGCTCGTATGAGGCCTTGTCTGGCGGCAGCACCACCGAAGGCTTTGAGGATTTTACAGGCGGCGTAGCGGAGATGTACGATCTGAAGAATGCTCCACGAGATCTTCATCGCATCATCATCAAAGCTCTGGAGAGAGGATCCCTGCTGGGCTGCTCCATCGATGTCAGTAACACGTTAGTTAACATGTTACGCACATGACCGACCATCTAACGGTGTCCTCTGTCCACAGATCACCAGCGCCCTCGACATGGAGTCTGTGACCTTTAAGAAGCTGGTCAAAGGCCACGCCTACTCTGTGACTGGACTCAGACAGGTGAGCTGAACTTCCACCTTTAAAGTCTGGCGCCGAGTCAGCTTCACATCTTTGACCCTTGAGTCCGTCCTCTGTTCAGGTGGAGCACCGTGGGCGTCAGGTGCGTCTGATCCGGATCAGAAACCCCTGGGGTCAGGTGGAGTGGACCGGCGCCTGGAGCGACAGGTCGGTGCTTCATTTAGATTCTTTATGAGCGAGATCAGAACACAGGAAGTGACTGAGTGTCGTTGTGTCAGCTCCTCAGAGTGGAACGCCATCGACTCAGCTGAGAAGGACGACATGCTCTGTAAGATGGAGGACGGAGAGTTCTGGTAGGTTGGTGCAGGGAGGATGAGTGTGATTGGTTTACAGGATGAAGACGGTGAAACGTGTTGGTGTGTCAGGATGTCTTTCCAGGAGTTCCTGCGTCAGTTCTCCAGGTTGGAGATCTGTAATCTGACACCGGACGCTCTGAGTCAGGACTCCACCAGCTTCTGGACCACTGTGACGTTTGAAGGCGGCTGGAGGAGGGGGAGCACCGCCGGCGGCTGCAGGAACCATCCCAGTGAGGAGAAGGGGATTAGTTATGACAATGTTGAACATTATGATTACTGCATGTCCCACAATGCATCTGACTGCTGGTGCTGAATCTCTGCAGACACGTTCTGGATCAACCCTCAGTATAAGATCTCCCTGCTGGAGGAGGATGACGACCCTGAAGACGACGAGGCTGCCTGCAGCTTCCTGGTGGCTCTGATGCAGAAAGATCGCCGCCGCTACCGCAGCCACGGACAAGACATGCACACCATCGGCTTCGCTATCTACGAGGTCAGAGGTCATAAAGATGTGATGTTATGATGTCACAACAATCTCTGTCGCTGTCTTGGTGTTGGGTACAGGGTGCAGGTTGTATGGGGTGGGGGTGTTAGGATATAGAGTGTTAGGATACAGGGTGTTAGGATATAGGGTGTTAGGATACAGGGTGTTAGGATA